AGCAAGGAATAAATAGCTGTCTAGCTAGGCGCATTGGACAAATCTTCACAGGCACTTGAAGACTCCCACAGCAGTTGTCCAGGCAGAGCTGATGGGGACTGACTACAAGGATCTCTGGGCAGAGTTGAGGCTTAAAGAACTTGCAGTGCTTGAGGGCACCTAGTAGCTTTTATGGTTTCCTTCGTCTCCTTTAGGCTAGTATGAGTCCTGAAATGCCCACAGCCTTACAGACTTCTGGGAGTACATGGATCAGAGGTTATGTTTCAGAGAGATGGAGGATGACTTGCCTTATTGCAAGTTTGAAGGGGCAAAATATTTTCAGGAAATGATTTTAGAGGTTCATTTTAAAGAGACTTTGGTTGTGATGAATTTGAAGGCCAGGTTTGGCTTGGGAGGGGAATGAGGGTGAGACTTTGCATACCATTAAGAGGTGACATTTTATTGAATGTTTACTGTGGGGCAGGTGCTGTGTTAATTGTCTTACTTGATTGTATAATTTCATCCTTTATAAGTTGGTTATTGTTCCAATTTTGCTAAGATAAATTAATCCAGTTTCCACAGAAGTCACACCATTACTACAAGGTAGAGTAAGGTTTTGAGTGACAGGGCCTTAGATCAACACTTACCATTTATAACTATAAAAAACAAAATTATGATAAAAAGAAAGATTTTAATTATCTTTCCTTATGAATCTGCAGTCAGACAGCAGTTTATTCCATGAAATGGAGTATTTTTATGGACTCAGCAGAAGGGTTTAACAAAAGGCTGAAGGAAAGAGAAATGAAGGTCACAAAGCTTATTCCTCATTTTGAGGTTACTTTCCTTGAAAGTTGGGGATTGGAGAAGCAGAATAATAGGAAAATAATGCATTGGTTTTTATTAGGTTAACCAGGTATGACTTTTTTGGTAAGAATTGAAGCACAGGAAGTTCCTTATCATGCTCATGTGAAACCTGACCATTTGGGAAATTTGCTGTTATCTTTCCTGGTGATGCAGAACTCTTAGTCTTTTGGGATCCAAGTACCAAAACTTTCTACAAAACAATGGTCTTCTGTACTTTTCTTGAACTTTACCAAGGAGGGAGGAGAAGGGGCCTCCTCACTTCTTCCCACTGGCTTCTCAATTCTTACTGAACAGAAGAACTTACTCTTACTTTCTAGGGGCCAGATGATTTCTGCTGAAGATTGTGAATTTATTCAAAGATTTGAAATGAAAAGATGTCCTGAGGAGAAGCAAGAAATGCTTCAAACTGAAGGCAGCCAGGTGATCCATACCCTCATTTATCATGAGCACTTACTCTTCTCTCTCATGAAAAAGTCTAGAAAGGGCTGGAGTGTAAACTCAGTGGTAGAGTGCATACTTAGCATGCACAAGACTATGGAGTCAACCCCTAGTCTCATACCACAACATAAAATAGAAATCCTAGAAGAGCTTTACTGACGTTGCAGTATTACATTGTAGGCATGTTACTGACATTAACATTAATATTTATAAAAGTATTGTATTGTGCTGTGCAGTGATGTAGGTCAGACCCAGGGCTCTGTGGCAAGTGCTCTACCCCGAGCTACATCCTAGCCCTTATGATTTTTGTTAAGAGACAGGGTTATATGTTGCCCTTAGCTGGCCTCCAGTTTCCTGTTTGCCTGCAAGTCCTGGAATTGCAAGGCCGTGCCATTGTGGCTACCTCTTCTCTGCAGTTTTGAGTACAGTTCAGTGTAATTTTCATAATGGTCTTGGGAGAGCTATCCTATAGCTGATGTTATAAAATGCAGACACACCAAGGCTTTCCGATATAGTCTCCAGCACTCTTGTTCAAATATTCTCCTCCTCAGTAAGTCTGAAAAATAATGACTAAAATAAAAAAATCTAAGTCTGTCTATAGTTTTTAATGGTCTTTGTGGATTTATGCTACTGTAAGTAATCAAGAATGATAGTGACTAGGTATGTTTATTTAAAACAGTATTTTAAATCTTATCCCTAGAAACAGTCAGAAATCCAACACAGGTCATAGTAAGGGCCTCCTTTATTTTATCAGAGTATTTGTAAAAGATATATTTTTCATAATTTTGTTATGTAATAGCATTTCTATCCTGTTTTATGAAAGAGAAGCAATATTTTATAGACATTCCATTGAAGTGGTGTTTACAAAGGACAATGGTGTGCCTGGTGTGGTGACACATGCTTTTACTCCCAGCACTCAGGAGGCAGAAACAGGCAGATCTTTGTGAATTCAAGACCAGCCTGGTCTACATAGCAAGTTCCAGGCCAGCCAGGGTGAGACTCGGTCTCAAAATTAAAAAAAATTAAAAAAAGTCAAAGAAAATAACAATTTCATGTTTTGCAGTGTGCTAAAACGTTTATAAATCTGATGACTCACATCTCCAAGGAGCAGACGGTGCAGTACATCTTAACCATGGTTGATGACATGCTGCAGGTAGGTGCATTCTTAGTACTGTTGATGGCTTTGTCTTGTTTACTCTTGCACATACAGCAGTTCTGTAAGGTGGGGCTCACGGATTCTTCTATACATAATCCATTTTTAGTACTTTGCTAAAAGTGTCAAAGTTGGAAATGCTCACATAAAGGTATTTTTTTTTCTCCCAGAATACCAAGTAATTAGTATGTGTGTTTCTCTGAAATACATCAGTGTATGTCAGGTTTTTTTTTTTTTGCTGGACCTGGGATTGAATGTAGGGCCTCATGCATGTGAGACAAACCCTCTTCACTGAGCTACAGCCCCAGGCCTACCTCAAAGTGCTGCTGCTGTTGTTGGTTTTTTTTTTTTTTTTTTTTTTTTTTTTAATACACACAGAATCTACGGAGTCCTTGAGGCTTTCCAGACACTGGAGATGATATTTCCTTCTCTTGCTGTCAGCAGATTTTTGAACTGCTCGTTCTTAGCTAGTGCCTGGCACAGGCAGCTCAGTATGTTTGTTCCTTTTGAGACTGGTTTACCTATAATCCGAAACTTAAGAGTTGCATAAAATTCTATTTGCTGCTTGAATTGCCTGTAAATTCAGGGGGTCCTTGTCATAATTTTGTATTCTAAACGAGAGTATAAGCTTAGTTTGGTATATAGAGCAGGTTTTAGGAGCTAGGCCCTTCAGCTGTTTTAAATTTTTAAAAATTTTTTGGAAGGACTTTATGGCTCTAGTCCATCTACTCAACAGTTCCCACAGAGGCCCAAGTCAGGTTAGAATCAGATGCTCTTAGGCTTCATCCTAAAGTCTGGGTCCCTCTAGTCAGCAGGCACAGCGCAATTTGGGAAACTTGCTAGGTGGAGATTGGATTCAGGTGATCTCAGGCAGTCTGCAAAGGTCTGGGCCCCTATTAAAGGGCAGGGAAGCCTAGCACTACAACAGTGGGAGGTGTTGTAGGTGGTCCCAATGTAGGGGAATGAACACAGCACAATTTTGAAAGCTCACTATCATGCTGATTTAAGAGGATATTCTAGAGATCTGGGGTGGTAAAAGCAAAAGCTGGCCCATGGCCAAGGCTAGAACAGGATGTGGGGTCTGGAAGATTGGCATTACTAAGGTTATAAGGAAGTCATGACACAGTGGGCAGGATCAGACTTCCAGAGAAGAAGGCTGGTCTCTGGAATACCAAAATAATTGGGGGTGGGGACAGCCTGTGAAGGACCTAAAAAAACTAGACTGAAGGATTGAGCTGGTCTGGGTGCAGGGGATCAGGAGTCAGTGGGCAGGTCTGGTCTAAGAGGGTAGTCCAGAGATCTGGGGTGCTAAGAGCAAAACCAATCCTGGGCTCAATTCTAAGGTACCTTTTAAAAAGCAAGCAGGGATTTCATTAATTTGGAAAGAAAAATAAATCCTACATTGTGAAAAAAAATCATTGGGCTATGCAGTTTCTAAACTTCCTCAACCAACTATCCATGGAAAAATTTATTAATATTATTGTACTTATTATTATTTTGTGAATTCCCATAAGAGAAAAAAAGTACATTGACTGCAAAATATCTTTGAGGGGAATAAATAAAAAGAAGGTGGAAAGGAACCAAGATGGAGAAAGGCATTGGAAGAAAAACTATTTTGAAAAAAAAAAATAAAAAAAACTACTAGTTTTCATTTTGTTTCTTAAATCCTTTTTTCTTAATTTTATTTATTATTAGTTTTTTATTTTATGTGTATGAGTATATTGCCTGCATGTGTGTAAGTA